TCCATTTATGGAAGACTTGACGGCGGTGAGGGCCAAGCTTTTCAGCATTTCATCCACAGAACTCCTAAGCTGACAGCATGTACCCTGACTCATTTCCACATGGAATGGAGTCAATGGAGTGTATTGCAACAATTTTGCTGTATCCCACCATTTTTCCAGGGCATCAAGGAAGCCAACCTGTCCTCTCAGGAGTGGGTGGACTTCCTGGCCACCAAGATTCAGGAGTTGTTCTGATGCATGACATGCAAAAGGGTCTTTACTCCACGTACTTCATGGTCCCCAAGAAAACTGGGGGCTTCAGACCCATCCTGGATCTCCACTACCTGAACCAGCATATGAGAGGTGAGGACAGTCCAGGCGTTAGGATCTGGCTGAATCAGATCCCTCTTGGTCATGACAAACCTCTAGTGACCTGAGAGGGGGGCCTTCCTGCTTTCTTACAGTGCAGACGCTTTGCTGCTTGCTCTTGCCTCTGCTTGCATTTTTTTGCTGAAATTTTTTTTTTCCTGCTAGAAATTATGAGCAGTGGCTCTTGGATACTTTTAAATCACTGGGACTGTCATTTATTCAGATAAAGTAGGCAATTGCCATACTTTAAAGACTTTAATGATCTAAGGACTACACGAGTGTGGCCTATCAATAGCACTAGCCTGTACTGCAGTGACTGGAGTTATAGCTAATGCTAATAAGCAACGAGATGCCACCCTTCTCCTCCACGGACGAGTGCGGGGTTTTGTTCCTTGGCTGGGTTTCCCTCAATAATAGACCAGAGACACAGAAATCATTAAGTCTGTATCTTTAGATTTTTCAATAATTTATTTACATAAGGAAAAAGGTACAAAATATGACAACGATAGTTAATATAGATTACATAAAGTTATAATTAAGGAAAATAATAAATAGAATAGAATAGAAAATGAATTGCACTTGAGATCACTTTAGCCTCCTCAAAGGAATCTCCTACCAATATCCTAAAGATTACTCAAAACCCTCAAATTCACTCAGATTATCGTTCTAGAAATCATTTAACATTAACATTCTATTAATATTTAGTTATTCAATGATTTAATTCCTAATTTTAGAGAGATTATTGACCCAATTTTGCCCGGAGACTCATCCTTCCCCCTCTCTGGAATCAAGTCTACCAGCCACTCCTTGTTAACTCAAATATAAACCCCCCAAAATTACAGCCACGTACGCAATATGGCGGATTTCTAACTGCGTAATTTCTCCTAGTATCCTAGGTTCCTGTGTTATTAACGTTCAAAAAATAAGTCATTAATGTGGGAATGACACTACTTTCCATGGACACAAAACAGTGGACAAGAGCGTGCTAACACACCTAATTAGCACCAACAAGACTACCAAGAAGCAGGAGGCCTGTGTACTGGGTAATAAATCTACAAGTGGTAGTCCTCCCTGGAACTCTCTTGGGAAATGGGAGGACGAGTAACAGGCAGAACCCAGCACCCTGAGATTTGTGATGCGACTGGCTGGCCTGCATTATCATCCAGGCAGAGCGCCTCCTCAACCCCTGTTCTTAGTAGGACACAGCCGTGGACAGCTGCGAAAGGGAGGGTTAGCAACAAACCTCCCCAACAACTGCGTGTGCAACAGCAGAACAGATTTTTATCACTATTGCAGGACCCTGGATCTCCATCTGATGACCTGGATAACCTCCCATCCTCACACAGAAGGGTAAGGACAGAGAGTAAATCAGAAAGTAAAAGGCTGCAGCCTCAAACTCTGTTTGTGGGTGACTCTGCTGTAAATGACGCATGTGCAGTAAAAACACCAAAATACTCTGCTTTCCGAAGGATACGGTGTCTGACTTGGCCGAAAGAATCTTGCATATCATGGCTGAACGAACATCCATCCATCGTCAACTGCTTATCCTGCGTACACGGTCGAGCCAATCCCAGCTTACAATGGGCGAAAGGCAGGGGACACCCTGGACAGGTTGCCAGTTCATCACAGGACCACACATAGACAAACAACCACTCACACCTAGTCTTTGGAGCACCCGGAGAGACACAGGGAGAACATGCAAACTCCACGCAGAAAGGCCGGGGCAACCGGAGATTGAACCCACGATCTTCTTGCTGTGAGGCGACAGTGCTAACCACTGCACTTCACCCTCTGGCTGAACACCCTACTGTGAAAAACATCATACTGCACATCGGGACCAATGATGTTGAGAAACAACAGTCTGAAGTCTTGAAAGAGGACTTTAATAATCTGTTGAACACAGTCAGTTTCTGAATGCTGAGGTGTTTATCTATGGCCCTCTACCACCAATCTGAAGAGTAGCTGAGAGATTCAGCAGATTGTTGGCATTGAAAACGTGTCTCTCAACGGCATGTACTGTACTATCCATTCAGTGTTTATTTAACTGAAACTCCCCGAACCTTCCCTCGCTCTACTTCCATTTTCTCTACCCTAAACCCCCCTCACCGTCCACCTCCACCACTGGCTCTTAGTCCTCAGCCAGGTTTGACACGTGTCACAAATACGGGGCCCAACCTGTTCTCCCATTCTGCAATGGCAAAAAAGCCCAGCAAGCTCTGATTAATATGCAGCCTTCTCAATTCCTGTCTAGATAGATAACAGAAAAAGCATGGTGAATGTTTTAAGAAACAGGAAGCACTCAACATGTCCTGCAAATTTAGTATTAATTCCTCGTCAGCCACAGCCTGTCAAAAAAGTGGGCCAGATAATGTTTTTAACACACTAAATATAGCTTTGTTAGACGTTAGGACTTCTCTGACATCATCACCAAAAACGCTAATAATGCACGTGCCCTGTTTGCTACTGTCGACGGGCTAACCAACCCTCCTGTGTCTGTAGCCTCTGAACTTCTATCCACCAGGGCCTGCAATGAATTTGCCTCCTAGACAAAATTCAAACAATTAGACAAGCAATCACTGCCTCCATGTCAGTAACAGGATATGTCTTGTCCCTGTGTCCACTTAAAAACAATTCATATAGCGTGAGACAATTTGATTCTATTAACCATAAAAACCTGGAGGACATAATACAACATCTGAAATCCTCCTCATGCTGCCTTGATATTCTGCCAACAGTCTGCCAACAAGTTTCTAAATGCATGGCCTCAGATCTACTACAAATTGTCTACTTTTCTTTCCTCTCAGGTTTTTCCCACAGACCCTGAAATCTGCAGTCATTAAGCCACTCTTAAAAAAGAGCAATCTAGACAGGTCACTACAGTTAGAGGCCCATATCAAATCTCCCTTTTTTAAGTAAGTCATTGAAAAAGTTTTTTTTCAACAGCTTAGTGCTTTCTTGGCACTAAATAACTGTTTGGATGTCATCCAGTGGCGTTTTCAACCACACCACAGCACTGAGACGGCTCCTGTTAAGGTCTTTAATGACATCCATTTAAACACTGACAGTGGCAGAATTTCAGTCTTAGTATTATTGGATCTCGGTGCTGCATTCAGCACAGTTGACCATATTACTAGACAGACTTGAAAACTGGGTTGGACTTTCTTGCACAGTACTAAACTGGTTTGAATCCTACTTAAAGGACAGGGACTACTTTGTGTCTATAGGTAATCACACATCTGAGCTGACAAAATTGACCTGTGGCGTTCCCAAAGGCTCGATTCTGAGGCCTCATCTGTTTAACATCTACATGCTTCTACTGGCTCAGATTATGTTATTGTGTTTGGAGCCAAGGAAGAACAATTGAAAGACTTCGCATTAAATCCTTTTTGACCATTAAGAACAAAAATCTCTCTTCTGCATAAATATGTACACCATAATAGCCCTCTATGCTAACAGGGTTACATAAAACACTTTGAATTGCCTTGTTGTCGAAATGTGCTATACAAATAAACTTGCCTTGCCTTGTCCACGGCTCTGTCGCTTAGGATGGAGGCGGTTTAGGGCATGTCGGTGAGGTGAGTGGCTGGACAGTCATCGGGCTCCCTCAACTGTACCCATAGAGTTCTGTAGACGGAGCCTTTGTAAGATAGAACGAAGGTTACAACATTGTAACCTTAGTTCTTTTAGCCCTCTACGATTGAGCCCTGCCGCTGAGTGAGGATATTTCCATTGGCTAATTATTGGATGTAATTACAATAATGTTTTGTACAAATATTTATGACCGACAGTAAATTAAGTCCATTGATCAAAATGGTCACTTTTCCAGTGAAATATTTCAATATCTACAGGATTGATTGGCACAAAATTCTGTATAGAAGTTCATGGTTCCCAGATGACTTTGCATAATGTTTTCCTGACTTTTCCTCTAGTGCCACAATGAGGTTCATTTGAAGTTCAGAGTGAAATGTCTCCTATCAACTATTTGTTGGACTTCCCTGAAATGTTGTTTGGACCTTTATGTACAGCTTGGGATGAATTACTATAATGGGGCAGTTGTGGCTCAAAGTGTAGAGGGTCATCCACTTATCGGAAGGTCCATAGTTTGGTCCCCGGCTCCCACAGTCATCATGTTGAAGTGTCCTTGGGCAACAAGTTAGTGGGGAAAAATTGGCACCTTTTGTGTGAATGTGATGTTAAGTGCTTCGAGTGGTTAAAAACACTAGAAAGGCGCTATACAAACACGGACCATTTACGATAACTTTTGCAACCCTTTAACATTTCATCTTGCGCCATTATCAGGTCAGAATCTTTACATTTGTGAAATACTTCTAATGTTTTATACAAATCCCCATCACCCTCAGCTATACTTCGTGTTTAGTGCTAATTAGCAACTGCTAAGATTCCAAACCAATGTGGTGAACATTCTAAACCTTATACATGCTTAATAGTCAGTACAGTTTTGTATTCATTCTCGTTATTCTTGACATCTGTATAGCATTACCAGTTGTATCTGTTTCTCACACGGTAATGTTCTTGCATCAAATTTTTATAATGACTAAGTAAGACCTGATCAATGGTTAGGCCATAATTTTTGGGCATGGATGTTAAAGGGATGGTACACGGATATAAAGGGTAATAAAAAATGTGTCATGTTGAGAAAATGCACAAGCAGTATAATTTAAATTTAATAATGTTTCTTTTTACTTTGTCACATTTTGTTCATTATTTGCATACATACAGTCATAGGTGTTGTCACAGTGAAAATCTGTGTTGACATATAATTGTTGTACATAATTAATGTATGTAACACATTCCAAAGTTACACAGTTAACCTTAAATAAACACAAAAATATGTGACATAAATAAGTTAAAATCGAGTTAAATTAACTTAAAATAACCATGGCTGAGTTCACAAAAATAACAAAAAAACATTAGAGCTGTTCTCAGAATGACCTATATCCAACCTGTGAGTGTGAAAATATATAAATATTAGGGCTGTCAAACAATTAATCGCTGAATTTCAATAGTTAATCGCGATTATTCGCATTTTTATCACATGATTAAAATTCTATCATTCTATTATTATTATTATTATTATTATTATATCTCAACTATTAAGTCTGTATTAACAATGATAACAATTCTTAACAGTGTATCTTGATTGGAAATCCAATTAATGCAAATGAAGTTATTTTCTGAATTTGACTTTTAGATTTATTTGATTATTTCAAATCAAAAGATGTGCAACAAGACTGCAGTAAAACAATCAATTTCTTCAGAAATGTAGTCGTCCTTAAGCTTGCTTTCAAAAATTCTACAGCAAAAGTGCATGTACAAAATGTACATACATTAATATAAAGTGCATAACAAACAAAATACTCAAAAGCTACATTATTTCAGTTGAAGCAGGAGTTGGGAAGTGCCTGTGGCAGCATGACAACAAGTAAGGGTGCATTGAAGGGTCAAAACAGTAGCAGCCAAAGATCTTTTTAGCAAAGATTCTTTGGTAACAGCACCAGTGACAGTGTAAAATAAGAATATCTGACACATGCGTTTAACCCGAATAACACAATTAAAACGTCCTTAATCTCATCGTGATTAATGCGTTAATGCTGACAGCCCTAATAATTATATGTTATAAAATATATTATTATGTATCATGGACACTGTTTAACTTTGGTGCCTTCATAGTCATTCAGATTGCCTACATAAAATGACCTAGGTATTAAACTCTTCTAGAAGTGCATCTCAAGAAGTAGTTGTTCCCCAGCACACGGTACAATGTGCCGCTGCTCAGGCTGTACTCAAACATGTTGGTTCCACTGTAGATGTACGTGAAACCTGGAGAACAGAAGCTCACTGTTAGTTTCTGTGCAAACTTTTTCTCATGTCAGTAGTCTTGACTTGGAAAACTCCGATAAGCTTTGAATGCTACTCACCTCTGTACTGAAAAGCTGCAGTCACCTTGCCGGTCAGGCCGGAGAAGGCCTGATCCAAACTCCTGGGGAATCCCGGGTCCATAGCCTTTTTGGCCTCATCATAACTGAAGAAACACAGACAGTAATTAGACTGATTCACCATTTTTAAACCACCTAAGAAACCATCAACATACCTAAATCAGTCACCTGAATTAATTTCACGTCACAGTATTTGAACACACCTGTAGTAATTTCTGTCTACAAGGAACAGAGTCTTGGCAGATTCCACATCATAAAGGGCTGCATCAATTTTCTTCACAGTTGTGGGCAAACCAAAACTGGAAATTGACTTAGGATAGCCAGGTACAAGATTGTAGCCACTGAAAGCCCACACTTTCTGATCTATATACAGATTAAAAGAAAACATTTTAGCATCAGCATGTAAAGAGAAATAATGCAGTCTTAAATATAGTGTCAGGTTAGGAGCATTAGGCAGGAACAGAGAACAAGTACCTTTAAATAAAAAGAGTCGGTCTGACTGTTCATAAGCGGCATCAATGCTGATGGGGGCATTGGGCCAGACGTTTTTGATGAGACTTTGCTGTGGTGTCGCACTCTGGGGGTATCTACGCCAAAAGAAACTGAGAACACACAACAACAGACGTTAGTTCATAAATCAGCTCTTGTGTGAAGAGACAACACTCTCAACAGACTTTCAGATAAGTGAGTGTTCTACTGTATGTCTACAATACCTGCCCTTGAAGAAGAGCATTTCTCCTCGCAGGGTGGTGACAGCGTCCAAGACCATGGTTGAATCACAGGCATCAGAGGTGGTGGGGGGCTTAGGTCCAGGCTTAACAGGATCCTTCTCTGGGTTTGGACCTGGAGGTTAAATCAATTCAGCATCTCAATCTTTGATAATGTCACACAAAGTTGTGTGACATTATCAAAGATTGTACAGGAGCTTATTCAGAGATGTTTGTGCAAATAGGCATGGATGATCCAAATAGTACTGACCATAGAGAGACTGAATGCCGTTGACATCATCCCGGGGAAGAACAAAAGTGTCGGGGTTTGCGTATGAATACGTTGGGTACATGAGAGCACTACGATCATTAGAGTGAGACAAGCCCAGGGAGTGGCCAAACTCATGGGCAGCCACCATGAAGAGGACGTAGCCTACAGCAGAAAGCACGCAATTACAGTTCCAGCTCCTCTTGATGATGAGCATATACAGTATATCACATAAATACACACACTGAAAGAGTAGTTAGTAAGTAAAAGAGACACAACAGAGAGCATAAATTACAAACTCACCTTTGTTTGAGCGGAAAGTGAACGTCTCATCTTCATCAAAATGAGCATCTCCTCCAATTCCAGGCCCTGGGGAGAAGGCATGGGCAAGAGTGCTTCCAGGGCCATCAAAAGGGTAATAATCACCATGCTCTGTTAGCAAGAACATATTCACGTCAAGCTTTGCAAACCAAATACACTACAGATACAAGCTATTAACCAAACTCATGTGTTAAACAGCACATCCGAACTGGGTTTTCAGATAACTTCTTGCTATGATTAATTAGCTTTCTAATGAGATTTAAGACACAGGAAAAGTTATTTTGTACTCACCTTGGCGGCCAAAGGAGATCATGATGTCAGCGGTGCCACTGTTGATTCTTGTGAATCTCAGAGGAGTGACTTTGGCCCAAACCTGCAGTGCCTTCTCTATGGAGTCATCGACCTCTGACACTGGCATGTCAGGTGTGTAGTTCTCTATCCTGTAGGACAGAAAAATAGTCAAGAACATTATTTGATAGACTTCCTACAATTACTGTTTCACACACTTTCTCTCTTCAGATCATTCACCTGTAGGTGAGGCTGTTCTTAGTCCACTTGAGGTTATTTTCAAACGTGGAGAACCTGGCAATATGGACATCTGGAACACCACAGCGGGGCTTCTTCATCATCTCTAAGGTTTTATTATCCAGCGTCCCGGTGACCTGGAGACCAAAGAATCGTTGCATCTCACTCAGCTTCCTGCTCACCGGGCTGATCCCCCGTCTGCTAGATGGACCTGTCTCCTCTGTTAGGTTGAAGAATTTCTTCAGGTAGCTCTGCAAAAGAGAACAAGAGTTGGAGACTTGAATATGCATCAACAGCAACAACAACAATTTATTATATTTAGCTATTTAGATTAAGTGGTTTCCTTTGTCTATAACAGCGTAACATTCAGGATTCGTAGAACAAGTTTCCACATGCACCGAAATTCAAAATAGTCTGAATAAATGCATCAAAAGGCAAAGCAAACATACATACCTCTGCAAAATTCTCATCTTGCACAGTAACCTGCGGTACTGGCACGCAGTAAACTGCGACTGCCAGGCTTAGTACAATGCAGAGTTTGAAAGTCTTCATGGTTTGTTGAATTCAACTGGTGTTTCTGTGCTGGAGGCAGCGGTTATAAAGGCTGAGGACAGGGCATGTTGAGCAATGTGACCACCTTGAGTCAGTGACTCAATATTCCTTTTATGGATAAGAAAGGAAGTCTGGCTTTGATTGCTCATACAACAAAAAGGTTTCCCCAAACAAGACACTGTAATTATGATGATATGACACGTGTAGGATTGTTACATGTAACAGACAATGCTTACGACAATTTTTTTATGAAATAAAGAAAAATATCATGAATCAACCATTAAAAACCATTGTTAGAATTTTTTTTCAGATTCACTTGGAAGCGTAGTATTGTGTTGCATGTCTACATTGATGTAATAAATTTATGAGAATTAATACCAAATTGCCTGCGGTGTGGGCCCAGGGACTACCATGTGAACTGCTGACATGAGGCCCTCCCCATTCTCCGTTAGACCACACAACGGAGCAGCTCCGTCAAAGAGTCCCCCCTCTCCTGAGAGAGCCGTGCTCTCCAGAAAAAGGAATCCAGCACCACACCCAGGTAGGTCAGCGTCTGGGAGGGGAGAGGAGCGCTCTTTTTCCAGTTCACCGTGAAACCCAGGTGAGGCAGGTGTGCAGCGAGCTTGGGTCTGTACCACAGCCTTGTCCCTGACACCCGCCCGCCACAGCGGCTCGAAAGGCGTCTCAACGCACTTGGAGAAAGTGTGCGGGTCCAGAGAGTAACCAAACAGCAGGCGGTTGTACTGATACTGGGTGCCCCAGAAAGAGAAAAGCAGAACCTTCCTGTGTACTGGGATGACGGAAACATGAATGTACATGTCCTTCAGGTCGATGGAGGTGAGCCACTCTCCTTGACACACACACACTCTAGCACCTGTTTCACTGTCAATGTGCAAAAAGGCCTGTCCATCGCTTTATTGAACAACGACAGATCCATGATGGGTCTAATTCCCCCATCTTCTTCCTGACCATGGAGTAACGGGAGTAGAACCCCTGGTTCTCCTGCCCCGGAGTAACTCTGGAGATGGAGAGAACTGTCTCCGCTATCCCGGTGAAGTGGGGAGGGGGGAAGGTGAACTGCAACATATGACCCCGGTGGATCAGAATGTTCATCCACCTGTCCATAGAACAGGAAACGAGCTGCGCTCTACGAGTATCGCTCTGAAAGTGGTCAGACCTGCTGATGAGGTACCTGGTGGCCATGAAGTGCAGCCACTACTGCTGCAGCCGCTGGGACACCCATCAACAACCCATGGTAGGTTGGAGCGCCCTCCTGTGTGTGGTGGGAGGGTCTGCACAAGGCAGTGTGGCTGCTCTCGTGGGTCCGCCGCTGTACCTCTCCCCCAGAGAGGGAGTGCCCCCACACCTCCTTGTCCTGAGCGGCATAGCTATCCGCCTGGCGCTGCCTCTATTCGGGAGAGAGCAGGGCGCAGAACGGGCAGTGCGAACCAGGAGTGAGCACTTGGCCGGGGTGCTACAGTCTCGCCTCGCAGCGGGGACGGAGATCCCCCGGCATGATGTAGCCCCGTTGGTGTCTCGCCCCGTTCTGGCTGGCTTGCTGGAAGACATTTTTCTTCTTGTTTCCCGGCTGGAAATCTTCTGCTCTTTAGACAGTTGGGATTGATGGTCACTTGTCACCGCTTTTCTCAGTGTTGCGCATGCGCACGTAGGGGTAAACCCAATAGCGATAGCCTTAAAGGGCGAAGCCTAGACAAAATAGAACAAGGAGAGACATGCACGTAGTCAAATTCAGGTAATTGCAATAGTTCACATTAAATTTATTTAAAAATATAGAAATTATTTTAAACACCAAAAAGTTCTTCTGCTAAAGAAGCTTTTATAATCTGATTGAAAGCTCTAAAACTGCTACTAAATTGTCAACCTTTAATAAACAGCTCTGAATGTGCAAAAAAAAAAAAAAGACGTATCAGCTGAAAATGAACATGTTTTAATTTTGTTAAAAATTAGGAACTTTATATATATATAGGAATATGATGTAAAATGAATGATGATTAGGGAGCCAACAACTTCTTCTTTATCTGTGTTTTACTTCATTCTTATGTTTGTAACAATGAAGTTTTAAAATGCTTGCCATGTCCTGTGTGTTTGGCAATTTATGTTAGTACTTTGCTTAGGTGTGTTTTTGTGAGTGTTAGTGCCCACATGATCCTTAGATTCTTCCAAGTCATGAATAGTCTGACTTTTGACTCACAAAGTCTCTTCTCACACTGTTGTTTCTTCTGGTAAGACAGTGATGTGCATTGCGAACAAACACAGGCAGGTTGTGTCCTGTCATCATGAGCAAAAGCTCTGTTACCACACATTTCAAAGTACAATCTCTTCATTTTGGCTTACCTATCAACTGTAACTTCCACAGTTATGAAAAACATTAGTCAGTTTATTCTATTAATGTGTGCTGCACTGCATAGAAAACATAATGGCTTGATTGAGGAACTGTGTGAGTCAACAGGTGGTTAATCCAGATTTGTCTGTAACAAACAACTTTGTACCTCAAGTTACTGGAAAGCTACCTTTTGTTCACTGTTACCTAAGCGGAAAGTCTGATGCAGACACTTTGAGAGAACAAATGTATTGTTGCAATAAAAGTAACAATAGTCTACAATTATTTTAATTATAAAACCTCTTTGACCAAAAGATGATGCAAAGGTAGGACCATAAAACAAAGTTTACATTTTGTGTCTTTAGAAGAAATGTAGGTATATGTACATATAAGATATTTCAAATATTAATAAATGCACACACATACACATATCCACTAGCAACATTTGACTAAAAACATAAAAAAAACATTTGTAACATCAACATTAAATTCAATACAGAACAACTGTACTTTGATTCAAGGTACAAATGCCATTATTACAACATTGTATTATGCACTGAGGTAACGCCTTTAAACACCTCCCTGGATTATTCATCTATTGACAAATTGTTATTAGGTACATTGCGGTAATTGCTTAATATACAGTTTTGGAAAACTTGTGTATACACGGTGGGTACACTGCACAATCATCATGAAGCTACATGAAGTACTTTCCTTCAATTTCACCTAGCAGAAAATTGGGGCCCCTGCATCATTTTGACTGATAACTTATTATTTTATCTTTTGCTCTATTGGACATGAAGTGATTAGTCATTCCTTTCACCATCTGTCATTGCAAGAAACCATGGAGCCTCATTTGTAGCCTCTACTATTATTATGACATGCAAAAGATGTTCATATTTATTGAAGTCTGAAATGTAGCCAAAAAACCAAAGCATTAAGTAGCAATAAAGCAATACATCTAAGAATCAAAGAAACTGTAGCAGTAGCATTTAGGTTTTACATCATAGGACGGTTATGAGCTCAGCTCAGTCTGATGTGGACTAATACCACCACTGCTACAGACCTTTTCAAATGGATCAAGTATCAGCCAGAGAGGACAAACCACATTAAATACTGTTTCAAGCAATGATGTTATGAAATTTTACCAATACAGTTTCATAAGCTAGTGTTGTAGTCAAGACCCCCCAAACCGAGACCAAGTCAAGACCAAGACCAGAGTTTATCGAGACCGAGACAAGGGGATGAGAACAGTTGAGACCAAGACTGTGGGAGGGCGAGACCGAGTCAAGACCAAGACCAGTTCCTTGCATTGAATGGCACGCAATAAAATGTGGAACGAGATCACAGGTACTTCTCAAATTGATCTAAAAGATCCACTTTCCCATTAAAACACCCACATACAAACACTAAGAGCTGAAATCAACATAAGCATCACAGAAAGGGGGACAGTCGTTAACGGGAACAACACGTTTAATTAGGGTTATTGGTTGCATTTAATGCAATAAGTTTTATTTACAATCAAAGTTAGGATGTTAACAAATCAGACAATGCAAAAGCAATTTATTGATATTCCAAAAGTTATGGTCTTGACTGGTCCTGAAATAAAATCCCGAGACAAGACCGAGTACAAAGGCGGTCGAGTCCGAGACAAGACCAAGACCAAAAAGTGGTCTTAAGACCAAGACCGAGTACTACGACAGTATCATAAGCCATCCATCCATCCATCCTGCGTACAGGGTCGCAGGGGGGCTGGAGCCAATCCCAGCTGACATTGGGCAAAAGGCAGGTCGCCAGTCCATCGCAGGGCCACACATAGACAGACAACCACTCACACCTAAGGACAATTTTAGAGACACCAATTAACCTAGTCCGCATGTCTTTGGATGGTGGGAGGAAGCTGGAGCACCCGGAGAGAACCCACACGGACACGGGGAGAACATGCAAACTCCACACAGAAACCCACGACCCTCTTGCTGTGAGGCGACAGTGCTTACCACTGGACCACCACGCCGCCCATCATAAGTCATCCAAAACAATTTAATTAAAGTTTCAAACAGTCACAATTTACTACGCTGCGGCCAGACGCTACCCTGACCCTGGGCTCTCTTGACAGACACGCAGCGTGTCACGCAGATGACAAAAGCTTAACACACCCGTGTCTCACCAACAGGTGTGTATCCGTAGTTACGTACTGTAACTGCAGATTCTATGAGTATAGGCACATCCCGCTAAGACTATCGCTAAGGGTTTTACCATTCCGCACGCATGCGCGGCACTGAGAAAAACTGTCTACACCAACCCACAGAGTGGGCCTCTCCTGCATCCGCATCTTGTATATATACACACACAACGGTGAGACCTAGCCTTCGGCTCCCAAAATGCCTTTTCTTCAGCACTGAGAACCAAGGTCCAGTGAGTCCTTCAACTTAGAGGGCTGCACCTATGCTCATAGAATCTGGAGTTACAGTACGTAATTACCGTTCTATTTCGTGTAGGCTTCATCCACTAAGGCTATCACTATTGGGTTAGAAGCCTCACTGGCCCATACGGTACCACCAAGCACAAAACCCACCTGCCCTGAGCCATAAATGAGCCACCCAGCCCCCCACTGTCTGCTGCATTGGTGTCGGTGTGCACACAAGCGGATGGCGTGACATGGGAGGCAGCAGACCGACCCATGTGTAATAGTTGAGGAACTGGATGGGGGGCCCAGCAGCTGTAC